GTCTCTACATTTCATTTGGACAAAAGAAAGTTTGAAATGCTGCGAGGAAAGTTCAATAAGACGATCAAATCTCAAATCTGCACACTGTGTGCTGGCGGTTTCCCCTTCTCTCATTGTGGACAATAAACCTACCGTTTGTTTCACAAAGAGTTCTGGTTCTGAAAGTGCCCCAACAGAATCAACAAACAAGACAAAGAGAGCTTTTATTAGAGCTTGAGTAACAACTGGATTTCAACGTTTGCAGCACACGTCTCGCATGATCCCGGCAGAAAAATATTCAGTATATCTATTGTTGTCTTTCCTACTAATTTTTCATTCATCTAGGTTTCATTTTTTAGAGCTGCAACATTTTTTTTTATGAAAAATCTGTTGTGTGATTTTAAACTTTGAGGCAAAACGTTGGAATCCTAATTTGCTTCTTTTATCTTTGGGGGGTTTTGCCACACAGGTTTCAGGTCATCAGACGCATTTTAACAAAGACAGAATGAGCAAATACACACTGCAGTTTTGCAGCAATGTTCTCACATTGAAAAAAAGCATGCTAACTTTTTTCCTCATGTTAATTGGCCAAACGGTTGATCTATATGATCAGATTATCAACCAATAACATAAAACAGAAGTCAGTCCTTGAGTTTGACACGTGATCTATTACATTTCATCACATTATCACACTGGATCATCAGATGAACCACATGCAGCGTATGACATCATATTCTATTAGTTCAATGGTAATGGTTTCACAGTATCTTAATAAATCAAATTATATCTACTATTGTCATATTAATTGATTCGTAAGTTGAACCGGAAAAATCATAGCATGCTTTTAAATTATTCTGACTTGTACGTTTAGTTAGTATGAGTATGGTTGTATTTTTTATTTTTATTCTTTGACATTTTCAGAAGAGGTTGTTGTTGAAAACATGAATTTGTTCTCAATTAACTTACCTGGTAAAAAAAAAAGACCAAATAAAAAAATATTGTATTGTGTCATACCATGCCATATCGTATCGTATCGTATCGTACCTGTTTAAGTGCAGCTTTGGCTCCTCTTTCTCCATAAACTTTGACCTCTGACATTTAAAAGTAGCCCAGAAGTAGACCTGTGGTTGATCCCTGAAACGCTAGCGCCTCCTTCCCCCCTCAGGAGCACAAAGGAGAACAATGTGGGTTTTCATTAAACACTTTGAAGCAGGACACAGAGGGGGGAGAAAAGCACATGTCCTGGTTTTAACTTTCTCATTTTGCGTCATCCCTGTCAAAACATATAAATCACAACAGTGTCATCTGATGAAACGAAGGAGGATCTGCTTCTGCTGTCTCTCATCGAGTTTCTCCTTTGCACTTCCTTCGCTCTGGTTCCCTGCTGTAGCACGTGGAAGCAGATAAAGAAATTTAATTTCAGCAGAGGCAGATATGGCAGGAATGTATGTGGACAAACAGACAGACGTGTAGCGGAGAGTGAGAGAAAAGTTGAAGCGAATGGAGGGCAGAGTGGCTGTTTGCTCTGATTTTCTCGTGTGCGTCACTCTCCGGCCCCTCGGGGGGGGGTGGGGAACGCAGCGCCTTGAAACTACCCATTGTACTTTAATCAGCTGAACTACAGTTGTGCTGGTTGAACAAATAGTATTTCTTCATTTCTGGTGGGAACTGGTAGTCGAAAAGTCACATCTACAACAGAAGAGTCTTGAAGTTATAAATGTATTTTTAGCAGGACTGGCTTGTCGCTCACCTAAACTCTCCTGCAGAAAAGTCACACATCCCCAACATTACCGACATAACTCCTCCACAGCTGCTGCTGACGCTCAGCGGGATGGCAGAGGGCCTCAAAACTGTTTAAGAGAGGCTCAACAATCACGAGGCGAAAGTTTAATTTGAGCACCAAACCCCCCGCCCCCAAACACAAATGGAAAGTTGGTCCGACGGCATCTGTGGGACGCATTCCACAGCATCTATCTGTTTGTTGTGAAAGCAATGTTAACTGACCCACTTTACAGGTCACTAATCCTGCAGGCGGGATATCACCCAGTGTCGCAGGAACTTTAATTATGTCAATTAGTGAAGCAACGTCCTCTGCAGCTGCAGGTGGATTCATCTCGCTCCCATTTCCAAACCCCGATTTATACCGATTTGCAGACAGACTTCTGTTTTTGTGTTGTTTCAGATCGTGAAGGTTAATCCTTAACGAAGATAATCAAAATTATTTACATAATCATTTTTTAAAAGTTGCCATTTCATTTATTGAGGGGAAAACAATCCATGTTTGGAAAAGTAATTATCCAATTGTTAAAAATTCTAAATTAATAGATTCAAGGGACAATTACTTTTTCAAAGAGTAATGCTAGTTTATATGACTTACTTTTATTTAAAGTGGACCTATTAAGAAAAAAAAATACATTTAGCATACTTTTGTGCTTCCATTTGGGTCTTGACTGCTTCTAAAAAATGTCTAAGAGCATTTTTTGATGTCTGGAAAATGAGATTGTTGAATCACAATTGATGGGCACTGCACTGTCACCTAGCAACCCAAACTGAGCTCCAGCATGTTTGGTCAGCTGGTTTTACCACAATACAATAGCTGCTGGAAAATACAAGAGTCTTGTTGTTGACTTAATATTCAGAAACCATTTTCTGCATTCTTGTTGATTGTGCAGGAGTCTCTTCTTCTGCTTTTCAAAGACATATGCTTATGTAATTGTGCACCTATTTGCTGTCATTTTTATGTGTGCGTGTAAACGTTGAGTTGGGTTCGCAGCCAGCAGCAGCTTATTTGGATTTAAAGTGACAAGAGGCCCTGAAACAGCTCATTCTGAAAGGATCTCAAACGAGGGAGAACTGAGCAGAATAAAACCTCATTACCTAAGAATGATTCTGTGCAAAAAAACCCTGTCATGAACATGTTTTAAAAACCTGTTCGAGGAAGCATAATAGGTCACCTTTAATAAGTGAAGCTGTCATTTGAAAACTGAGTTTTGCATTTACAGATTTTTACTGTCTACGCTTGATCATCTGAAGTGTTACAAAAATTTGGTGTGTCCTCTAAGAAGGGAAGCTACCTGCAAGACTGCACTCTGCAGATTTGAAAATGATGGGAGAGTGCATTTCATATGACATGATAATAAAGGAAGAGGACAGAAGAAGATTACTAGGGCAGAGAGGCAAAAGATCACTGGCACAAAGAGCCACGCAAACACAAGCGCACTGAGCCAGTCATGCCTCAGAGAGGAGCTTGATGCTGATGTGCAGTGAAAGGCAGAGGTGGTGCATGAGATGGAGTGTAGAGCAACTGTGAGTCAGACTGTGTTGCCGTGTCAGCTCGTCCAGACAGACGCTGCTCTCCAGGCTGTGTGTAGGTGTCTCTCAGGGGGACAGGCGGGCTTTTCCGTTATGAAACCCGGAGTTGAGGCCGGCTGCTGCTGCTGCTGCCGCCGCCGCAGCCTTTCAATTCTTTATGACACACAAAGGACCGAATTAACAACAGCTTTCTAAGCCGAGCCTGACCTGTCCGATGATGCAGCGAAGCCCTTCGTCTGAGGGGGTGACCGTGCTGCCGAATGAAATGGCTTTACATCACATGGCCATTAGCAGATTAATTGCAGGTTTTGCTATAAATCCTTCATTACATCATTCAAAAATGATGTTTAAAGCTTGTTTTACTCAAATTCACGGTTTTATCACACTGAACCGATAGCTTTGAGGTCTGGAGACTAAAATATGTACAAGACAAGATATCAGCCTTATCTGGAGATTGTTCCTACATGTGTCTGCTGACATTAGTCGAAGTGTTTCTTCCCCCCCGAAAGGCTCTGGTGGATTTGACACTTCAGCCTCGTTCTCTACCAGTCACCTTCAATGTCCCTGCAAACCACACGCTTATGCAACTGCAACGGTTTCTGTCTTAACTCAGACACACAAAGAGCTGCGAAAAATATTCACTTATTTACAGATTTCTTCTCCTTTTTCTTCCCCCACCCCCAACATTTTGTCAGATCAAAATTGACCAGTTAAACACAAAATGCAGGAATCGTGCCTCCCTTGAAGGCAACAATTGGCGACAAGCATGAAAACGGACAAGATCAGGCCACAGCCTCGCAGGTTTAAGTGAAGACTTTGACTAGGCCACTCTAGAGCCTCCATGTTGTCTTTTTCAGGCGTTCAGAGGTAGATTTGCTGGTGTATTTTGGATTATTGTCCTACCACATAAGTCAAGCAACTTTAAACTACTTCAACTGAAAGTTAATGACTGGACATTCTTCAAATGTACAACAGATGTAACATGACATACACCCTCCATATAAGTTTCATTTTTGTCCCATCAGTCCACAGAATATCTCTCTTTCTTACAGAAATAGTAGATGGACCTTTGTGTTCATTTTTGCAGAGTTGTTTTGTTTTTTTATGCATCTTTTATAAGATAGTCCTAATCAGGTGTCCATTTCTTCCCGAGTATGGTATTTTTAATACCTGGATTAACTATACCTCTATGTTATAACTATATTTTTCTGATGTAAATTTGCTCTTAATGTAGATTAACTTACTCATTTTTTTGTCATTACCCTTATGTGAATCTGCACAACTTTTGAGTTTGTAGCTCATGATTTTGATTCTCATCTACTCTTAAATTCATGAAGATCGGGGCACAATTTGCTGCTTTTGGAGATAATTTAGCCTGCTTCGTGTTGTCAGACGGGTTCTTTTTAAGTGTTTTTCTTGATGCTACAGGTCAGGTAACCAGGTCCGGATTCGGTTTCTGAATTTTCACTCAGCTTTCCAAATGAATGCTGTTAACTAGTAAATCAACTAGAGGGATGATTAAACTATCTCAAACATTTAAATGGAGCAAAAACAAAAGAAGCAAAATTATGCAAGGAGGCGTACTTTTCTTCATACCACTGTGGGGTCTCAGCTCTCACACGACGGTTATTTCTATCTCATTGGTAGCAGCTACACACATTTGAAATCTGCTCACAGAGATAAATGTTAAGGGATTTGATTTTGTTTGTTTGCGTGCCTTTGCGCCAGATGTTGCTTTTTGTTACAGCGACTAGAGAGCTTTTCCATTTTGGGAGCCCCCCTTGCCTCCATCAGTTTTTTTTTTTTTCTCTTTTCATCTCTGACGTCAATGCTTCCAGCCCGTCTCACAGTGAAAGGGTTTTCCCGCTTAGTGCCTCCTGAGAGCTGCCCCGCTTTTTCACAGGTCACTTGTGTAGAAATTGCGAATCAGCTTCCTGACTGACTTGCCAGCTTCCCCGTCTCCTTTGTTAGAGGTCTACTTTTTTTCTCTTTTTTTTTCCACACAGGTGTTTCTCTAGTGCTTTGTGAACTAATTTGTCTTTTTTTTTTTTTTCCAGCCCGGTGAAATGGCAGAGTGCACACGAACCGATGGCGTCAGCAGGATATGCGCTCACTTCCTTTGAACAAAAAGCTTGTTCCTGTCATTTGACTCGAGGCTATACAATAACGTTGGAAACAAATGAGCAGCTTGGAGGTGAGAGACGGCGTCAGTAGCGTGAAAGCCTTTGGGAAGATTTGAAATCTATTAGACAATCAGCCTGACGGGATCTGAATACGTGACACGGAGGAGGACTGATGAAAGCAACAAAAAGGGAGGAAATATAAGACAAACAAAGGGACTAAGCTTTCAGTCCTGAGTGTTAATTACCACATCATCTGTATGACTGCAAGGCTGCTGCACGACTGCCTATACCCTGCGTCCCCAACCTACGTCTCTGCCCTCCGTCCAGCTTGTGCAAACACACCCAACCTACATGAAAAAGCTTTCACACACACACACACACACACACACGAGCACGCGTATGGTTTCTGCAATCTTGTATAACCCACAGTTCAGAGAAATGAAAGGCCGACTTGTAAACAGACCGATGACTGTTGGCTGCATTGTGGAGCCGGTGCAGCTGACGTCAGCCAGACCTGATGACTTCATGTGTCCGCTGCCGCCCGAGGAGGTGACAGACAGTTCGACGGAGGAAGGTGACACCGAATAAACGAGCTGCGCAACTCAGAAACAAGGAGCTGAGAGGGGGAGACGCTCTGACGAGGCAACGCTGGTTGAAACCAAATGCTTATTGGCGCGTTATTAAATCGCTACTACCATGGCGCTGGTAGACGAATTAGCACCACATCACAGTGACAGACGGTTTCCCTCAGCATCAGACATCAAAACATAGGGTATGGGTGGGCGTTCAGCTTTGCTTTCCTTAATCGTTTTCCCTGTACGCTTCTGTTTTTTTAGGTGTTAATTTTGGGTGTGTGACAGAAAGGGGAATGAGAATTAGCATACACTCTTCTGTTTAGCAACAATTTTGAGATTTCAGTGTCCTTTACTCGCACATGCCCTTTATACCCAGGTGCTGAATTTTGCACCCTAAATGAACATAAACCAAAATCTGCTGTTTTTAGGCTTTTTCATTCAAATATTCGTCAAAGTGCATCTACATCCCCTGTAGAGGCATAACTCCGCCCCCAAACATTTTTTGAAGAATTCCACCAAAGTGGGCGGAGTCAAAATACACTGAGGGGCGTGGCCTACTGCGGGGATGAGTGGCTATGGTCAAGACGAAGAACACTGTTGCCAACTTAACAACTTTGTTGCCAGCTTTAGTGACTTTCAGACTGCAGAAATTTATTTTTTTCAAAAAAAGCGACTGGTACCAAATCTTTTTTCAGTGCTATTGGAGACTTTGGCAACAACACTTGAAGCTGACTGAGGTAGATGGTTTCATACACGAACGCGGGGCGGTGACGTAAACATTAACTAAGTTGTACCATAGTCAGTGGCGTGCCATCAGGTTGCAGTCAATGCACGTCAACTATACTTGAACAACACACACGTTGTGCAGGACAATGCAAAAACTGCACCACACCAAGCCACAGGCATCCAATAATATGCAAATGAATAAAAACATGCCAAGTAAAGCAACAATGGTCCGTTGTAACAAACAGAAAAATTTGACTGCCGTTGCCTTCGTTCATTCCAAAGACAGTTGCAGGCTAAATATTGCAAAATTAAATAATTTTGCACAAAAATATCACAATTAGGACGGAAACTAAATATTGCACCCTTAAAGACCAAAACAATATTATTTGGGTTTTAGTTACTCTTTAACCAAGCTCAGGCTTACATAAAACTGCCTCCAATAGTTAATTAATGTCCATAAAATAAACAGAATAGGATGGATTAGGGACAAAGATTAGTAACAAAACTGATTTAATTGTGGTATATGTAGTGCCAAATACTTCCTATGGACACAGCGGTCAAAAATACCTTTTTACTTTCATTATTACTACAATTTAATCTAACATCCACTGTAGTACACAACAATAAGTTTGCAGACATTAAATGGATGTAGGTTCCATCCATATAAGGTGCTTTATTAAAATGTAGCTACTGCTAACTGCATTAGTGGTTCATGCAAAAGCCCGGCTACCGTTGCTAAAAGAGAAGTATTGCTGCATGATTACTTTATTACTGCACATTCAAATATTTTCAGAGCAATAACTGATGCAATAGGGTCGTTTATTAGTGGAAATACGATCTGTTTGGACCTTCACTAGTAGACTTCTCATAGTGACAGAGGCGAGAAATGTGATCGCGCAGCAGAAAGCAGGAGTGCTAACTCTGGTGATTACAAGCCAGCTGTAACAAGAGACAGAAGCCCAGGAGTCAGGCTCAATGACGCAGCTGCTGCATGACTTCTACTCCTCGAAGTTTCCACCGAGACACAACTTCTGGCACTCCCGTGTCATAATATCACCACGAGGTGCAACGAGGCCCTGTGACTCTCTGTGATCACTGTCTCTCTGTTCTTTCTCTGTTGCACATCACGGGCCCTCTGGAGAAAAATGAAATGCTCAGGAATTTATCTGAGCATTTTACTTTAAATAAATTAGAACACAGTGTATCGAAAGTACTGCTTCTGCATTAAACTTATTTCGACATTTAGATTCAAATGTTGCAATTTGCACAGATAACCACAGCTTCTGGTTCACTAACAAATAGTTCGCCATGGCTGTTGATTTCTCTTGGTAGTTCAGCATTTACACTCTAAAAATGATCACAACCCACATAATGTCAAGACGTGCATAACATATTTGCTAGGGATGCACGATATTGGATTTTTGGTCGATATCCGATATGCCAATATACTAAAACTCATTTGGCCGATAACCGATACCAATACCTCTATTTTTTTCCTATACCTATGTGACGGAGGAGCCGTCATGAGCCGGGACTTAATTATTAGTCCGTGTCAACATGCGAGCACGCCGCACACACACAAACGTACACAATCGCTTACTTCTGTTGTAGCTTAAACTGATGCGGTTCATCGTGGTTGTGCACATGCGGTGTTCCTGCTTCAGTTAGCATCCATCCTAACCTGTTTTCACTTCCAAACATTTTCCCGGTTTTGTTTTCAAGCAGGGTTATTT